AGCCGTAGAGCAAAATACATTTTTACATCTCCTGCCCCAAATATACTACATAGATATTCCGAAGGAAACAATATTTCAACATGTCGGTTCAAACAGAGATGCACTCACCAATTTACTCAACGGAACTTCCAGTTAGAAAATACCACAGAGAATAAAATTGAATTTGTGCACTATGTTTGGATGAACCAAAAAGGTTTTGCTTTGAATTTTATGTCAAACAAGAGTGATGAAAAGTCAATGTTTTCTAGAAATGTTCAGTGCTGTGAAAGTGGCCTATTTCCACATATTTCAAAGGACTCAAGTGTTTAGGCTGTATTTTGCCCTAACAATGTTTTTCTGTTTTATAACTCATTTCTAAGTGCAACTTAGTGAAAGATAAACATGTGCCAAAAGAATTTAAAGATACATCTTTAAAAGAAAGATTCTCTTTCAGTAATTCTCCATCAACCTTCACCAATAACCCGAAATCAACCTTCTTTTCTTCTTAGTAAGTATAGTAAATCTTCTTTAATTACAACGTATTTATAAATTATACTTATTTATGCTATTGTTTATTACTCTTTTTGTATAATTCAATTGATATATTTTCTATTCGTAAATATTGTATACCTTGGTTTTGTATGGAATGTACTATAATTTCCCACTAAAATTAATATAAATATAAATAATTTTATTTTTTCTAACGAAAACTTTTTTCACTTACAAATAAGGTTTTCAAAAATTAATTAAATTCCTTAATTGAGGTCTAGGTGTGCATAATTTATTTCCATATTCACTCCATCATGTGTATGTTGTCAAAGTATAATTTTCAAAAAGTTATAAACAAACGTGTCAAAGATTTTACTCAGTTCATTAACTAATAAGGAAACCAGTAAGATGTTAAAAGTAGTTCAAAACAGATTTCAAGAAATAGAGATTTATGTAGTCTGTCAGTCACAATAATGCTGTAAATAATTTGCAATTAAATACAACAACAGTTAATGTCATACATGGCAATAAACTCTAACATTTGCAGTTAGTTTTTCTTCTGGATATAATTTTATATTGTTATTCAACAAGAATCAGCTGAATTGCTCTCAGTCAAGAAACAGTTGCATTAATACCAGTTTTCTACAGGTTAACTTTTATCGTTACAGAGTTGTAAAGTATGCTAATCAATAGTAAAAAGGTAGTTAATAAAGATAATCACTCCTAGAAAATTAGTTAATCCTCAGTCAAGTTATGTGCTATAATCAGTACTCAGCATAATGCCGAAGAAGCATCCAGCAATTGCTTCTGCCTATGTCCAGGTCTTGGATAACTCTTCTTGAAAGTGTCTATGCTTGTATGGGCATAGGGGTTGGGGCAGATAAAGACAAGGCAGTATTAGGATTATAAAAAGAATTAATATTCAAGTTTTGACACTTAAGATAGTATTTTTGAGACTGTAGCAAGACAGTGTGAAAGCAAGTCTGTTTCAAGAAAGAAATTCTTTTCTCTCTCCATTGAACCTATCAAGGAGAACGTGAGTTGAGTTTCACCAAAGGAACATCCCAAAGAAGAGAAACAGTGTAGTATCCATGACCACCTCCAGCCCTGGTGGACAATGGGATGACAGGAGATAGAGCGGAGGAGACAGGCTGTCAGGTGTACAGAGTGGAGCATGAATTCCTTTTATTTAGGGGAATGTGAGGACCTCAGGAGCTTCTGCTCAATTTCTCTGCAGGAGTCCAGGCAGAGTCAGCATAGTAGGACATCTTAAATGTCCCTAAGGACAGCCCTGTACAGTAAACTCAGGCAGAGAAAGGCCTTCTCATTCAGTGCTGTCTTTCAAATTTGTAGACAGTCTCAGGATCCAGAAGTTCTCATATGCTACTGCAGGGCATTATTTGGGTGCAGGCAAGGGATTTCTGTAACTGTACCTGGGCCTGGGGCAGAACGGAACTCACATTCAGATCTCAGCAGGCTCCACAAACAGAGAGAATCAAGATGTGTTCAGTTTATCCAGGAGGGCTGCCAGCACCCTGAGTAAGCTGAGAAAGGCCTGATTGTTTCCTAGCCACGGATTTCAGCAGATGGCTTGGAGGGTGGGAGGCCAAGACCACTCACACAACAGCAGACAAGACCTCAGAGGGAAGGGCAAGTCAGCCATGCTGGAGGGATATCCAAGGATGGAGGAGGAGCCCAAGGAGGGGTGGGAATGAAGGTAGGGGGGATACTATGGAACATAGAGATATTTGTCTTTTTCCAAAGCCCATGCCTTTGAGGCCATATGCCTCTTCCACGCACCTGGACATCATCCAGGAGACAACAGGAGACTGGAGTAAAATTTTGAAATTTTATCCAACATTGCCTGAACATTTACCTAAAAAGACTATAAATATGAATCAGACTAATTTCAATGCATTAAGGTTGGTTCTTTTTTCTCTTAGCTCAGTTGTGTAGAAGCGTGTGATAAAAAACAGATGGCTGAGGAAATTAATTTGTATTTCTTCATACAGTTAAGTGTAAAGTAAATATGTAATCCTGCTATTACTCTATTCTTTCTTTGGTGCCTTAAGCTTTCCTTCTTCCTTAAAAACAAAGGAAGAAAGGAAAGAAGGGAAAGGAAAGGAAAGGAAAGAAAGTTCTGAATACTTCTATGTATTCAGATAATATATTTTATGTATTCAGTTGGGGCTGGGTAGGGGGTGATCATCCTACTTGTTTGCAAATCTTTGCATATCTATCCTGCTCATTCACAATGAGGAATCTACACGTCCTCCTTACAGCCCAGTGCAGGGTAAGTTTGGAACCGCACTGGAGTTCCCCTGGAGTGTAAGAAGAAATAAGAGGAGGTGACACTGTACCTGGCTTCTCGTCTGGAATTCCTGAAAGGGACATATGTCCAGAATCACCAGTCCAAGGACAGTCTAAGGGAGCTGTAGGGGGCTCAGACTCACTGTCAGAACTAAAGATTGCCCTCCAAATCCACAGCCTTCGTGGCCTCAAGTGGAATGCTGAGGTTATTAAGGGAACAAGTCAATTATTGTTCAGTTGAGGCTCAATTAGGGAAATGTAATGTCAAAAAACAGTAGTCTGGATCACTAGTAGGGGCTTAGAGAAATAAAGCTGCTTCCCTGATGGTGGAACACATCCTCAGGGAGCCTCCAGCCAAGTCGTTCACAGGTGCCACTGTGCCAAGAAGAGACAGGATGGACACATTAGTGGTGACAGCCTTAGAGACGGCTGCAGAGACCACCAGAAATGTGAAACAACACAGAACAGGAAGAAGGAGGGAGACGAGCGATAAAAATTAAAAACCTTGGAGAGAATTTTAAACCAGAATAAGACTGAAATACAGACCTGAACTGAGCAAGAACTCAAACACTAAGTTGTACAGAAATTAAACCTAGAGATGACTAAATTACATTTGACCACAGTAGGAAAGCAGGTAGCTCTGCATCAGAGTTCAAGAAAAAAGAATGACACTTTTTGCTCATATCCAAGTGTGTTCACTGAGTTGTAATTATTAAATGTCTATACATCTGTGTTACTTCTTAAAGTAGATGAAATAAAATCTAAATTCTAGTTCAGGTGCTTACATCATCATACCCCACACTGTATATTTTATGAAAATGACAATTTTCACAAACACGGGAATGCAGTGAGGGAGCCCGAACCTACGACTGTATCACCATCTGCCAAATATGTTCATTTGAAGCATTTGAGGTTTTTTTATTCTAGTGCACAATAGTGAGAACCACTGGCCACAAACTAGACAAGAACAACACAAAACCCACTCTTACTGAGAGAGAATTATATTTGTACTAAACCAAAAGAAAGCGTATATATACTTGAGAACAGCGATGATGCTGATGAAAAAGAAGGAAAAAGAGACAGGGGCAATTTAGCAATTAAAATGAAGCAGCACATAGCTAAAAGGTAACGATTCAATTTGCAGAAGATCAGCAACTCATGTCTATCTTGAAAATTAATACCTCAGAGCTTTATCTTTATTATGCCTCAAAATGCTGTTTCTTTAAATCACAAAACTATATAAACAAACAGGAAAATTCCCTTTTGAACTGCTGCCAATAGCTGATAAGAATGGAATTTCTCTTCCAACATATGGTAGGCCTTCTTACATTAGTAGGAAATTAATATTTCTACTTTGTGTAAATGGCATCATAATTTGTTTTATTGTGTTAAAATACACATAACATGAAAATTACTTTAAAGTGTGCAATTCAGTGGCAACAAATACATTTACAATGTTGTACGATCATCACCACTATCTAGTTCCAGAACTTTTTCATCACTGCAAAGGGAAAATTCACACCCATTTAGCAATTATTCCCTGTTCCTCCTCCTCCAGCCCATGCTAACTACTAATCTACTTTTTGTTCTCGTGGATTTATCTATTCAGGGTTTTTCAGATAAATGAAATCATTCAATATATAGCCTTTGGTTCTTGGCTTCTTTTTACTTAGCATAATGTTTTTAAGGTTCATCCGTGTTGAACACGTATCAGTAGTCTGTTCCTTTTTATGGCTGAATAATATTCCATTGTACGGATATATACATATTGTTTATCCATTCACCTAGTGATGGGCATTTGCATTGTTTCCATCTTATGACTATAGTGAATAGAGCTGTTATGAATATTTATATACCAGTTTTGTTTGAGTACCTGTTTTTCAGTTTTCTTGGATAAATACCTGGGAGTAGGATTACTGGCTCGTGTGATAACTATATGTTGAGCTTATTGAGGGACCGCTAAGCTGTTTCCCATAAGGGCGGCACCATTTTCCCTTCCTACCAGCAATGTATGAGGGTTCCCCTTACTTCTCATCCTCACCATATCTTCTTTGGAGAAGTTTCTATTCAAGCCCTTTGCCCATATTTTTAGTTGAATTGTTCGTAGTTTTGTTATTGAATCATAAAAATTCGAACATGAAGGTAAATTTGAAATCATCTTGACCAACACTCAAGTCTTGTAAATGAGGAAACTGAGATGATGGGAAATTATATGACGGGACCAAATTTATCCAGTTATTACTGAACCTCGACTCAGACTCAGATGCAGTGTCCTGCCTGCTTTGTGTCCAAGCCACATTCCTTTATATATTACGTTATAAAACCAGCAAAGGTTTTTAAGATACCTGACTGGGATTGGAAGAACAATTTGTAACATTAAAAGGATGATGACTATTTGAGGGAATCGTAAATACTTTAGAATTATAAAAACAAATTTTGTTTTAGAAACAAGACTTAGAGTTTAATTAAGAGATTGAAGGAATACATATAAAACACAACATCCGGATCTATCAAACGTGTGAAATATGTAGTTTGAGCGTCATTTTGTGATGAAAGCAATTACTAAAGAAAATTCAGGTCATAAATGGGTTTTAATGGTCCCAACCTAAATACAGTGTTTAAAATATCTATCAGCAAAATAAAATGAAAGGGGGGATCATTTATGCTATAACATATATAGTATGAAATGTTATTAAAAATAAGTTCATTCTTGTCATCTTTAATATTCTCTCAAGCCTTTTTGTTTAGTTTTTTAAAATTTCAATTAGTTATAAAGCATAAAAGAAAGGAACAAAATAAATGAAAAGCTTAAACTCACTGTTTAACAAATGGTTGTTAGTTCTCCAGAGACCAGACTTCTTTTGGCAGGGTCTTAAGTAGAGTACAAGCAGGCCAGGGCTGTCCCACTCAGGGCTCTAAAGCTACCTTTGCTGTTCAGTATCAATCAGAGTATGGAGGGAACATCAGAAACGACGAGGCCAAAGGTCTAAAGCCACTGGGATGAGAGAGAAAAGATGGAGCTAATCAGATGCTTAGATGGTCCTGGAACGAAAGCGTGGATTTAGGATGAAAGCACTCAGCTATTTCAGACACAGCAAACAGAACAGGACATGACCTTCGGGCTGGGGAGCGAATGTGCCAAGCCCAAAATTTCTCAGGGGTCAGGGATTATAAACGAAGGACCGTTGATAAAAATACGGACGGGAGTAAATTGCCTTAGAGCTTTGTGACCTGAGAGGTGTATTTGCCCTGCTATTCTTTCCTGTGTAACAGAGAACATCTTTTATCTCAGCTACCTAAAAGCAATCTAACATTTTTCTCCTGGAGTCTCCGTTCATTTTTTCTTAAAGTTGACATAATCAAAATTTGTTGTTCCATTTATATGAGAAAATCTTAATAATTATCAGTTATTCTTCATCTCGGACTTCTTAACAATTTGAACAGTTTAAATAGAAATTTGAGACTATTCAAATATTTCTAGGTGGCATTTTCCCTTTGGTGGAGAGGGGAGCAGTGGGGCAGTAGGGAAAGCTAGCGACTGCTACCCATGAACTCGAATGCATTGGGAATCACATTTCTTCTGGTTAGATAGTTAATTTGCTTTGAAGACAAGGGAGTAAACTATGTAGAGCTCAATTTTCCACTGAACTTTTATAAATTTCTCCCTATAGATAATTCAGACCATTAGTTTTAAACAATGGGCTATACTTTCTAAATACAAAACATCTTTCTATTTGATATCTGGCAAAATGAAAAGAAACCATACATTTGGTTGCAGAAATTAAAATATGAACACATATATTTTGCTATGGAGAGTGGTATCTTTCCTTCATATATTTTCTATGCTACCTCCACATTTTTAGTTTTAAAGTAGGTGTCTTATGTCCAATTTATAGGGCCAACCCTCGTACACAGATATTATTATGTAAATCTCCCTGCCACTTCTCCATTTGCCAGCTAAAAGGTAGTGCAGAAGAGAGGTATATAGAATATGCAAAGCGGGAAGTAAGGCTGGTGTGACATGTCAAACTTTGCTCCTCAAAAGTTATGTGGAAGATATAGCATGTTGTATATTCAAATCTGATCTCTGTATATTCTCTAATGTGTAAATGCAATTTGTTCAGCTATCCAGCTTTCAAAGAAGATGAGCCTTGCTCTAGCTCAGAGGTAAATTCTGATTTTTCTAAAGTTCCAGCACTGTCTAAGAGGAATTTCTGTGATGACAGAATGTTCCATTTCCATACTGTCCAATATGGTAGTCATTATCTTCATGGGGCTATTGAGTACTTGAATTGTGGCAGTAGTATGGTGAGACTGAATTTTTAATTTTCTTTAATTTTAATTAATATGAATTTAAATTTAAATAGATACATGTGGCTACTGGCTATCATATTGGACAATCCAGTACACCTAATCATGGCAATCCTATTGCCATTGCCAGTAACTGGATTGACATCAAGCATGTGAAAAAATGATGACTAACAGATGGGAAGAGAAGGTTGCTGGCAAATGAAATGGTCTCTTCTTCCACTACACAATGCCCTACACAGCATTGCTGCATGGAATTCTGACACTAAGCTTATCACATCATGGACAGTAACGACATGTCAAAGCAAGGCTCCAGTATTACTTTGAAGCTCCTTGTAAATGAGATAATAAATTTTTTATATTGTTTAAGCCGTTTTCATTTGGGTGTCCTGTTATTTGCAGAGGAAAGCATCATAACTAATGTAAACATCTTGATTGTTTGATGAAATTGTCAGAGGAAGGACACTTTTAATCTTTGGAATTAGAATCAACTATTATTTGTATTTTAATAAAGATGATTTTTTCTAGATATGGTAAGGGTAGAGTACTTATGTAGTAACAATAACAGTGAAGATCATAGTTGTAAATGTTTTTGTATTTGTTGTCTAGACTGAAATTCATCTTCAAATCTTATGAATAGGTGGCACAAGTGAAACATGTATGTTATTTTTTGGATGAATACACTAAAATTAGGAGAGGTTACTGAGATCAGACAGTTCAGAAGTAGTGAGAATATATCTCAATCTTGAGTCCTTTTTTGAATGAAATACTCCCTTTAATTAGATTGTTTGTCTCTGTAACTACCTTCTGTGTTAGTGGATTCCAAGAAGAATATAAGACAGCACATTTAGATATTTTTATACCTAATGGCTCAGTGTTTGTGCCTCCAGCAGATCTCTAGCTATACGTAAAACCAGTATATTTTTGAGTCAAGTAAGCAGGGTGGAAAACGTCACATTGAAAAGAAGAGCACTACCTGCTTTAATTATAGTAAATATAATTCAAGAAAAAAAGAAATAATGGAGTAAGCAGTAGATTTCTAGACAATCTATAAAATAAAGGATATAAACGTATGAAGTTACATGCAGCAAATAACTTTCTAAATTTCACAGCTAAGAAATTGAAGAGACCTAACATTTGCTACTATTAAAGTTAATCATTCATACTACAGATCTTAAAATGTCTGCTACTGGTTGCAAATGTTTAGGTAGAATTTAAAAAGTGTGTTTAATAATAGGAGTAATAGGTTTTGCTCTTGTATCTTCTTGCAATGAGAGAAGGAACTGCTGTTTTTCCATGCCTTTCAGGGGCAAAAATAACAAAGGAAAATAATCATTGAACAGCAGCAGAAGCTCCTTAATTTAGGTTTTATGTTTGTAAAACCGTAGAATGACTATGCATGTCCTTTTCTAAAGACATTTAAATATAGATTTGGCCGTCATTTGTCTGGAAAATGGTGTTTTCACATGCTGTCCTACATGAAGATAATGCAATAGACTAAAAACTAATGTTTTTCCAAGCTTTATGATTTTATTAACTTTACTATTATAAAATTAAGCTAATCAAAATATTCAGATGATATCGAAATTTAAATATTTTAACCTTTCTAGTTTACCAGTAAGAAGCATTACTAATTTAGCTTATAAAAAACAATTTAAAATGCAAATTTGAGAGTAATCCAAATGAGGATAGACGGAAGAGGAACTGTTGCTATTTAAGGAACCTATCTCTAGATATCACTAAGATATAGCAACACTGAACAAAGGTCTATAAAAATAATGATAAGTAATTATAATTATTATTACTATAATAGTGATGATGCTATAACAGATAACATCCATTAAGCTTGTACTATGTACCAAAGAAAGTTTATTAATTATCTCCTTAAATTCTTATAGCAATCTGATACAGTAGGTACTAATAGTATCCCTACTTTACAAGTAAAGAAACTGAAGGTCAAAGGAGCTAAACAATTAATTGTAAATTATCAATAATAACTGAAAAGTTGGAGAGATTGTTGGGCTGGCCTTGTTTGTTTCTCTTCTCTTAGAGATCGCCATCCTGGTTCTGCCATGATCCAATGTTTGAAAACAGGGGATTCCTTTACTTTCTTTCATTTTCCCAATCATGCGTGGTGGAAGAGTAAGTTAGGACCCTGGGGTGCGGGGGGATGCAATCTCAAAATAGATTTGAAGCTTCCAAGATAAGTGGGAAATTTTGTCTCACTTCCCATTTAGAGTCAAGAGAAAATGACTGTGCAGGGAAACATGGCGGATAGGGCCAAAGGTAGCCTCACAAAGATTTCTGTACCCCAAATGGTATGCAAGCTGGAAAGTACTCCTATGCCTGAAACATGGTATATAATTCATGAAAGAGTGGCTGAAGCTGGACGAATGAAGGAGCATTTTAGTCAATACACTGTTCACCAGTTGACTTCCCATCTACCCAATATTTTGGTACCATGTAAGCCTCCATTGCTCAGAACTTAGAAAAGGCCCTGGGGAAGAAGATCCAAAATTGCCTGTGTTTAAGATTCTGCTATGCTGAAGGAATAGAAGCTTACATTGTTCATTTATATAAAAACAAATTTCACTTTTCCATTCTTGAGTTGTGGGCTTACTCGTATCCAATTCACTCATTTGGTGGGTGTGATTTCTGAAAATTATAAATTAATTTGCAATTTTTACAACATAATGATCATATATGGTCTGATGTCTGGATAGTTGTAGTCAATTCTCTGGGTTTGAAGGTTAACTTAACATGTGATGGTTAATATAAGTGAACAGTTTGAAATAACTTAGAATTGTGCTATTCTGGTTACTGTATACAATAACGTGTGATTACATTCTTTAGAACCCAGTCTCAGCACTATGAGGGTAAGAAACATGGCCACATCCTTAGCACCTAAGAAGGTTCCTGGTCGTCA